CACACGCGCCTCACTCACAGCTACCTGATCGAACGCCGCCCGATGCCGTATTGCAATGATTGTTTGGTACCCCTGACGGTCTTGCATGTTATGGCGGAATGCCCGAGCCACAGTGATACTCGGCAAAACTACTACCCCAACACCACTGCCCTCAGCCCAAATGAAATGCTGTCCAGGATGCTAAGAGAAGTTCCTCGAAGCATCTTTGGGACTGACAATCTCAGACGATATATAATCGAGTGTAACCTGCTACCGGATATCTAGCACGGCACCATGACATGGGTCTGAAGAGACCCATACCCCTGACTAAACACCATACTCGTGTCATCATGTTACTGGTTGAGATGAAATAGCAGAAGACGGATAGAACCTGCGCCTTGGAAATAGAAAAGCATACACCCTAGACCAGATGGATCAGGCCACGAGCCTGAAACCAATGAAGAAGCCTGACCCTGCAATACGAATATCGGACCTTCGGCGCGAAATAGACTACCTGATCTGAAGCGCTAGAAACCTCTCCCTACTACTACTTATAAATGATCGGATACCTCATTAATTTTTAATACGTAATGGCTGTGGTTGGTTTGAAGGCGAAGGTGAAAAAAGAAGATGGGAGTTTGAAATTTTAATATTGACTAATGAGTGGTGGGAGCGAACCAACACTATTTCCAGCGTCCACGAGCTGGCAATGAATGATAAATCTGGCTCGTCGTCGACGTAGACTGGCCTTCGTTTGCTTTCTAGTGTTTTCCATAAACTGAGCTCTTATTTTTAATGACACCATTATGAGCATTACAAAGAATTTCCTAAGTTATATCATATTTCAATGCCGAGAATTTATATAAATTTTATCGATATTTGGGAATCGACTAAAGAAAATGTATCGATAGAACATTTACAATGAAAAAATCTGCAAAACGTGAAATCAGGCTGTTCTCAACGACAAAGTAAAAAGATGCAAATTAATGTGGTATAGTAGTAATAATTGTGTCAGCGTTGAGTAAGACTTTCGGGGATTCTGCATATTGCTGAATTCTTGCAACATGCTGGAGTCTCGAACCCGCAACTCATCTTGCTCGACTCAACCCGCTCCAATCTTGCTGTTTTAGGCCACCTAGCAAAGCAACTTTGCCGATTTTTTACTAGAACTGTCACAGGTAGCAAGGATCGAACTCACACCTCACTGCTCCAATTCTGATGCGCTGAACATTAATCACTGAGCCACGATTTGGGCTTAGGTAAAAGTTGTTACTGATATTGTTGTTTCAATGCGTTTAAAATGTTCCTGCTAGATTTTCGTCCTTGAAAAATCCACGGTCACTACAGCTATACTGAGTTAGAGAGGTTGTGTGAGTAACTTAACTCCTGAAATTGCTATGTTTGTGCGAATATTGTGCACTTTGTATCTATAATTTCTCTACGATCGATTTCGTGATAAGGGCCCTCTGAAGAAATCAATTTAGTAATCTCACAAACGCTCGTCTCTGTTGTCTGTAATTTCGTCTCTATTCTTAATGAGTTAGTTATTATCCGCCCCATATTAGTCGCCACCTGGCCAAGAGGGCGTTGAGTGCACTGGAGTTAAGGCTTTGAAAGGAAGGTGTTATGGGAGCGTGTCTTGCGAGGAGGGATGCTCCGAGATCGGGGGTGCATAATGAGGAAGTTTTTTTCGTTCGCTTACAGCCATCGCAAGAGATTTGGTGAGCGTAGTTCGCAGCTCAGCATATGTACAAACGTGTCTGCACTGAGACGATCAGCGCTTCCGGGCATGGCGGAAGTACGACGACAGAATTCAAGGTAAAGTCGGCGAGGCTATCTTAGGAGAAAAAAAAAGGTTCGCTTAGAAGATTGTGGGTGCGCGGGAATGATTAAAATCTTTCCTGCATCCCCGAAGAAATTTTACGTATATTCTGATACTTGAAAGAATAAAGCGTATAATGAATAAATATAACAATTGCTAGTTTCATGTAGCGTTGGGTTTGTTTAGGTTGGATCGCTGCCACGACGAACGTTGACGCCAAGTTGAAGTCGCCGTCGCACGGTCGCTCAGGCGTCAGACTGTCAGACTGTCAGTGTGCGCTGAGCTTGCATAGAGTGTAGGTGTGCGGTTAGCGCTGAGCGATGCACCTGCTGAAATATAAGGAACTGGTCAATGATAAAAAAATCAGACTTTGAAAAATTATGCGCGCTTTTCGAATTCATGTTTTTAATGAGTTTACTATCGTCAAGTCGAGGCAATACTTTTTCGATTGGTGCAATGAGCCGACTTCAATCAAGTCCCGAATTCCGAAACTCAATTACAAAATTTTGGAGAAAACTGACAATGAATGATTGTGTATGTGCCACATCGTCAATGGAGTCGTAAATTACAAATCATTTTATGAATTGGTGTGTATTAGATGAGGTCTTGAAGTTAAACGAATTAAGGCTTAAATTTCTTAATTGCATCGTGGCTTGACAGTGTCCAGAGTGCTAACGTCGCGGGAAAGCGATCAGCCTTGAGACGCTGGCTATGCTTGCTGCGCTGGAGTTGCTTGTGCAGCGTCAGGCCTGATTTGTGCGTAAGTGTGCTGATGCGTACGGCTGTGTTGTGCGCAGTCTGTTCTGATACGCACGGCTGTTGTGCGCAGTCTGTTCTGATACGCACGGCTGTTGTGCGCAGTCTGTTCTGATACGCACGGCTGTTGTGCGCAGTCTGCTCTGATACGCACGGCTGTGGTGCGCAGTTGTCTGTTCTGATACGCACGGCTGTGGTGCGCAGTGTGTACCGACACGCACGGCTGTGGTGCGCAGTGTGTACCGACACGTACGGCTGTGGTGCGGAGTCTGTTCTGATACGCACGGCTGTGGTGCGCAGTGTGCACTGATACGCACGGCTGTGGTGCGCAGTCTGCTCTGATACGCAGGCCGTGGTGCGCAATCTGTATTTTGTGCACCCTGAACTTCTAGAACCTCAACATTTCTCTGTTAAAAAAAGCTAGCACTCATTTAAATGCATAAGCAGATTCCTTCATTCTAACGTCCATGTTCATTGTCTCAGTTAAATACCATATGTTCAACAGATACTCAGTTGATCACGTTTCTAAGATCACGTTAGCTTGTCATAAATTTATACATGGATCGTGTTGATGACGTCACTATCGCCAGCCAATCAACGAACAGATATCCGCCACAAGATCGTGTTGAGAACATGTCGACGGAGCTGCTGTCAACAGTCGAGGCTGCTGTGGGCGCTGATGTGGCGGTTCACAACCTCCGGTCCCGAAAACTTACTGAACCTGGCGACAATTTCGCCACAGAGGTCGTCTGTGTTGAAGCCGAGGTTACGGTGAGTGTTGAAAGCGCATTGTGCTCAAGCCATTGTGTTGAAAGCACGTTATGTTCAAGCCATTTGCCTGGGGACGAAGAAACGACTTCTTCTGGCGACGATGATGATCTGTTCGAAGAGACGCCCACGAATGGGCCAAGAACCAGCAGCGACTGTCACTCAGAACTTCCGACTGTGCATATCAGTTCTAAATTAAACGAGTGTAGGCTTCAGAAACAAATCAATGAGAAAATGAATGTGCGCTCGATTGTCAACGAAAACGCCAACAAATGTTTCATGGGGTTTCCTTATCATACAAAAAACAAGTGCCTCAATTCTAAAAAACGAAAAAACACTCGAGCCTCTGGTCGTCGACATTTTTCCTGTGTTGCAAAACTCAACTCGAAAAAGAATTGCGATTTTTTCAAAATTTTCAGCAAATTCGCCTTCGAGAACGAAGTATTCTTCTACACTGAAATCCTTCCAGTCATAAATTCCGAGCTAACTAAAGCATCGAGCTCTGACCTCTCAGTTCCCATGTATTTAAATTCTTCACTGAAGCCCAACGACGAAGTTCTTTTGATGGAGGACATCAGGCAGTCACATTTCAGAATGCTGGACAAGAAGGTCGGACTAGACACCCCTCGTCTGTGCTTGGTCATAAAAGAGCTTGCTAAACTGCACGCGTCGTCGCATATTTTACTTACAAGATACAAATCTTCCATCAATAACAATGCGTCAACACAGATTTCTACCACTTCTGGCACACAAGATAAAGAAAACAATTTGGCTAGTGACCCTAACCAGCGATTAACAGGATTAGCTGAAACGGGATCACAAGCCAACAGCGTCTTACTCTCCAATCGAAACGGAGAAGATACTCGCCAAAACCAAGTGTATTCTTTGTCTGAAAAAGTTTACCGGTATTTATCTAGTCCTAGTTACATAAGTGCGCAAGGTCCAGTGTTCAAGATACTAGTTGGTCTAGTGAAGAAGAGGATCGTGACCGCTCTAGATGTCCTAGAGAACGAGTCTGACGTGACGGCAGCGAAGCAGTGGCTTACCAGGACCTTGGCTGACGTCCCGGCGCTCCTGCTGACGATGCTCGGCAATTGTCAGGCCGAGTTCCTAGTGCTCTGCCATGGTGACCTCTGGACCAACAACTTCATGTTCACGTAATTTTTCGGATCATCAATTTCATGTTCACATAATTATTCGGATCATCAATTTCATGTTCACTTAATTGTCTGCATTATAAATTTCTTACTCGCGCAATTGTTTGAACCAAAAATTTTATGTTCACTTGGCTGTTTGGACTAACAAATTCACGTTTGGTAATTATTTGCACTGACAATTTAATACATAGTAATGCGAACTTTATTACGAGTTTCATGTTCAGCTGCTGATTGGTAAACCCGTCAATTACACTGCATTGCTAAAGATTATCATCAAAGCTTGAGTTAAGAAGAAAATAATTTTAAGGCTAGCATGATACGGGGCTTTATTATTTGGTAGTATTCCTTAACTTATCAAAGCCACATAAAATATTTGTGTTCTATGGGCTTCATCCGTTGATATTTTGAGAGCTAGCTGGCTTACTGTCATTCCTTTTGGATGACCAACATGGCATGTGCTGCCGTGCATCTCTTAATGTTATTAGCCTTCGCTACACACACACGTAGTCTGTTAACATACTTCCTGAAAGTTAGCTTACATACAACTAATAGTTGACATATTTTCGGAAATTGCAAACTAGTACTGCTGCTTTATTAGATTAGGAAAGTTCAATTTGTCAGCAAAACCGAGTACTTCATCTGATTAGCAGTTCAATTAATCAGCACAATCCTATGCTTCACCTAATAAGCACAGTTTAGTTAATCAGTTAGGCGCTGTATCTGCACTATTANGGGTTCAGCAGAGCAGCGCTGACGAAGACGATGCAGGAGGTGCAGACGTGGGGCGCCCTGGGGGCCTTGCTCGTCCTCCCCATGATCTTCCCCCCCGACGAAGCACCCACAACTCCCCCCACCCTCCCCCCCTCGTCACATGTCCCTCCATCCACCCCCCCTAGTGAGACACCCCCTCCCCCCGCCTATAATCCGGAGTTGGTTCTTCGGTACAAGCAACTCTTCGCTCATCTCGAGCTCTGATAATATGGCTATAGCATCTAAAACTTATAAAAACATAAAATGAAGCTTGATAATAACATTAAAATAGCAATCCATCACTTTCTGCTTAATGATTCAATAAATTCTGTTGGCATCCTATTTTTATTTTATTATTCTACTGGGAAAAGTTTTTCGTTCTTCTAAAGTGGTCGGCCTTTATTGATTGTAAAGGATAGCGTATATGGAAATACTCGATAAATTAATTAGCAGTGTAAGGAGACAAGGTTTACTAGCACATCAACAAAGATTACGTCTCGACTCAAAATCAAACAACAATCATCACCAACAAAATGGCAGGTTTTGATAATCATGGAACATTTCTTAAATCAAAACTCATTTTATTGCTCGCACAACCAGAATGTATTTGAGAGATGTATAAATGTATGATGTATAATGTAGATGTAATGAAAATGAGAGATGTATAAATTACAGTCAATTGGAATTCATTTCAGAACTCAGAAGTATACATCGAAAGGAAGAGCACTGTAGCCCTGAAAAAGTGAATAATATAATTCAGCTCTACATAAGCATCAATTTCTATGAAAACTAATAGTATGTATTTCATTTTTTTTTCTTTTTCCAGCTGTTCTACTATCAATGATTACAGTCCTTCCAATTATGTTGCATACAAATCCTACAAGTTCATGAAAGAAAAAACAAGTTTTTAGATGGAATTTTATGAAACAAATGTTACTTTCCAGCACATTTGTGCTGCTCCTGCAACAGAGTGCATGCATTGCTTTCTAAAATTACTTGTAAGAACCAAATGGTTTTATATGTAGAATGTCTTCAAGATCTTATACAAAAACAGTGTAGGCACAACACAGATAAATGCTATGCAATTAACAAGAGTAATTAAAAGATATACCGGTAAGCATCTACGTATTTTTGGCTCTATATTAAGAGCCAAACTAACCTGCTCAGATGTTTCAAACACATTACAATTTATGATTAGATTACTAACCAATTGTCAGCTTCAAATTTGTTTCAGAATCTTGTTTTTATATGGTAATTTTCCTATGTTTTCAACACCAGAAAAATCACACAATAGGTAATTAAAATGAGCATTAGCAATTTTTGGGAAGTCAACATTTCATACACAACATATAAAGGTTTAACCTTCCTAGGAACAATCACACTGTCACACATTGCACATTCTACAATTTGAGATTTTTGAAGCTTTAATAAAATAATAAAAAAATTTTAATGAAATAATAACAGCTCAATTCACACATATCTAAATTACACACCTATATCTACCAAGCAAGACCAGATGAGGATAAGGAAAAGAAATGCCGTAATACACATAGGTTATTTATGCAGAAGTGATTCTATGTCTCATTTGAATTTCCCTCATCTCCATGATGTCAGCCTTGAGTCGTAGTTTCAGTATTTGTCTGCAGAGGGCATCCCTGTGCTCCGCATTTGTGATGCCAAGACGCAGCAGAGAAGATTGACTTAGTCCAACCAGTGCCTTCCCATTGATCTCATGCTGTTGAGGAATGAGTGTTTAATCAAAAGAGGATTACCAAAGTGGATAAATTGCTCAAAAAATAGTATAGCTATTAGCTGCATGGCAAACTTTTTAATAATTAATATTGCAAAAATGAATTTAAAATATTATGAATGATGTATAAAGACAAAACCAAACACACTCATTCTTATGTATACTTTATGATTACCAGTACCTAATCTAAAACCAAATTTAAACATATATATGGTAAATATATACGTCAATAGATAAAAAATGATACTATATGTGAAAATAAACATCAAAATACTCACTTCACTGAAATAATGAGCATAAAGAGCATAATATTCAGAGCAGTGGCGTTTGAACCACTTCTGAACTTCAGCCACAGTCCAGTGGTAGCATATCTTGGGGCGAGCTAACTTGCTTGCCTGTAAGAAGGTCAAAGTGGGACATTAAAGATGCTGCAAAAACAGAGACTTGCATAAAATTTCTAGAGCCTTTAATGATAATTAATATGTGGTGTGTAAACAAGCCTGCTGAACTGAGAACCCAAACTGCCAAGCAAAAATAAGAACTTTTAGCTTGAGATATCGGCATTCTTTCAAGCTCTTTATCAAGCCATTTAGACATATTGACCATAACTGAGCATCCATGTCTGATCACAAACTATCAATCAATTTGCCCGTTTTGATTGTTATCCATCATTCAAAGCAATTTTAATGCATGAACCTTTATGTAAAATTGTCAATCATGGGGCTTTGAAGCCCGCATTGGCCACAACGATCATAAGTTGCAATTAATGTAGAAGAGTAGAGACTTTATGGGAGAAGGTGATGGCCATCTGCTTTGATTGTACCTATTACCTATGCAACTAATATTTGGGGTAATGAATTTGGTAACCTCATACTGTGTTATGAATACCTTATATTCTGGCTTTTAGGGTCTGCAAACATTGTGGGCAAAAAAAAAATTACAGGTTATATTGATTTTTGAAAATCAACAGCACAGGTTATTTATAAAAAATCAATATGACATTAGTTATTAGCAGCCATTTTTGTTCATTATCATGAACAAAATTAGGCAAGGCTAATAGATTCTTTTCAAATAGAAACACAAACAAGTAAAAGTGTGCAACTGCCCATGACCATTAGTAAGGGCATATCTGTCTTATTCATAGGTGGTGCAAAGTTGCATGACTGGCATCTATCTAAATTTCTAGTTGGGATTTAAGCAGTTATTCTAGAATCCTGATATTCATGTTGTTTAATATTTCAAATTCAATGCTTTGATACTGGATGAATTTCACAATGGTTTATAAATTGCTAGCCAGCCAGAAAGCCTTCCAGTTCCACAATCCGCAGCAAATAAGTTGCCAAATTACTAGGATTTTTATTTTTTAATATCTGAGCAAACAGGACTATAACATTACATTTACATTAGAAGGACATCTGAAATGTTGTCAGTGATGACTGATGAAAAAAATTAAAAATTTACATGAAAATATAGATTTTGCTGTCCAACTGATTGAACTGAAGACATCACATAGAAAGTGAAAAAAAAAAATTATAGACCATGACTACCAGTCTACCACTATTGCACATAATATTATAAAACTAATAATGATTTTGTTACAAGCCTACAAGTTACAAATAAACACGTCATTAAGACATTTAAGTTAAGTAAACACTCAACTATAAATACTGAATTTTACCTTTGTCTTGGGAGCTTGATAGCTGTCAGTTCCAGCGGTCATGGTTATTCAAAGTATGAAATGAGATTTTGATAAAAAAAGGTTGTACAAAATCAAAAAGCCAAACTTAGGATAATTAGAAATTTAACTTCTCATGGGCTAGAAAATTAGAAATTTAACTTCTCATGGGCTAGAAAATCAAACAGAATGCATATAACTTCCAGCCTTTAGGTTGATGCCAGTTTGAAGGTGAAGAAGAAGTCACGTATACCAACCACTTGTAACACCTGGACTCAGCAATGATTATTTAATCATTGTCTTCATCTTTAATTTTCAGTTTCATCTTTCTGTTGGTGCATGCTCTCCACGTTGTCATCAGTTTCTCGTGATATGAAGCAATGAGAGGGAAATGGTCATTAGATCCAGTGCTCTTCATTGGCTATAAGGTAGTTAGATGACCAGTTTGTGTGAGATACGTAGCAATTGCTCGCACTATGGAGTGCTGAATTATTCTGGGGTAATTGCTTCTGCCGAGAAGCACATGCACAGAAATGTGAGGCACTCCCAGGGCATTGATGCTTGATACCATCACCTCTCTCACAGTCATATAGGGCACACATCAGGAGGAAGTGTTTAATTGTTTCTTCAACCCCACAATGCAGGCACACGGAAGTGTCAACCATCCCAAATTGATGGAGGTAAGAACAAACCCCAGCATGTCCCAGACAAAGTGGCGTTAAGACCACTGAAAGACAGTATGAATGACAAGATACCCATGGGACTGGAGGCAACCCTGAGCAAATGGAAGCAAGATGGTGGCCCCGTCCATCAGTAGCCACTGCAGAGACCCAATCCAACTCCCAAAGACTAAGGTAGCATGACCAAAGCATAGCAAAGGCATCCGAGCAAGGTAGAAGGAACAAGGCAGAGTGATGCAGGTGATGTCCCAGTGTGGCAGCAGCATCAGCCTGTTCATTACCAACGATGCCTGTGTAAGCCTCGACCCACTGCAAATGTACAGACTTTGAATCATTCAACTGTAACAGTTGCTCACGGATGCCATAGATTGTAAATTGGATTGTAAATTGTAGGGGATTGTAAATTGTAATAGCTGCAAAGCTACAAGAGAGTTGGAACAGATGACCCATTCAGGGAAAGAGTCAATTTAAATGAGCCTCAGGGCCTGAAAAATTGCAATCAGTTCAGCAGACAACACACTGTGATATGGATTCAATCTCCAAGTCGCAGCCTGTTTCATGGATGGAGCATTAAGTCCACGTGAAATAGATGGGTCATTAACAAATTTTGAGCCATCACAATAAAGTGCTTTGTGATTTGGATATTTTATGGTGAGTGAAGCTAGAGTATAGACCTGTATTTTGCATGTTTCAATTCAAGTTTAATTTAGCTAGTAAAAAAATGGCATCATTTATAAAAAAAAGTGGTCTAAGTTACCCCATTTTACGGTAGAGGGAACAAGGCAGAGTGATGCAGGTGATGTCTCAGTTTGGCAGCAGCATCAGCACGTTCATTACCGACAATGCCTGTGTAAGCCTCGACCCACTGCAAATGTACAGACTTTGAATCATTCAACTGTAACAGCTGCTCACGGATGCCATAGACAAGATTACAGTACAGCAAGTGCTGGTAGGTGATTGTAAATTGTAATAGCTGCAAAGCTACAAGAGAGTTGGAATAGATGACCCATTCAGGGAAAGAGTCAATTTCAATGAGCCTCAGGGCCTGCAAAATTGCAATCAGTTCAGCAGACAACACACTGTGATATGGATTCAATCTCAAAGTCGCAGCCTGTTTCATGGATGGAGCATTAAGTACACATGAAATAGATGGGTCATTAACAAATTTTGAGGCTTGAGCCATCACAATAAAGTGCTTTGTGATTTGGATATTTTGCATCCGGATGAGCAGTAAAGAGGCAAGGTGTAGCAACCTCAGAACTCAATTGGAAATCAAGGCAAAGGAGAGAAGACAGACAGTGCCAAGGTGGAACCGGATCAAACACAAGAGTGGGACGACCACAACAAGGAGGAAGGCCCAGATCATGTAATATCTGCTGTTGGAAAATGAACAAAATTATCTATTTGTCCATGAGGACAGCAGAGCCTCAGTGAGCCACATTGAAGAGCTAAAGGTGTGGCACAAAGCACAACTAGAGGTTCTATCCCTGTTTGGACAATATTTAAGGTGAATATGCATACTGGCAGTAAGATAGTTGCGTCTCAAACTCAGAGTCAGAGGAGAAACATGAGCCTCCACATGAAGGGACATTATGGGTGTGGTCCATCGAGCTCCCAGTATAAGCTGCAGGGAGGCATTCTGCAGAGTCTCAAGCATAGTGACAAACCAGAGATTTTTTAGAATCAGTCCATTTTTAATTTCCTCATTTACCCAAGTTTTAAACCAATTTCTTATGTATGATGGTGCTGGTGCATTGGTGCTGGTATCCAGGATACTCTATTGGTCTACTGATAACTTATAGGACTCAAAAATGAACTTGAGGGAGAGTCTATAAAAAACTCTGCTTTGCCACTATGGACATGGTCTCAAGCCACTTTAGTTGCAAAGAAGCTGTTCCATAAAGTACACTTCTGTAATCTATCGTGGCCCTTATAAATGCACAGTAAAAAAAACACAACAGGAACTTGCACCCCAGTTAGGGGAAGCCATATGTTAGGGCAAATCCATATGTCGCATCACATCAACCCACAGGTGAGTGAAGTGAGGGGGGGGGACCTCAGGAACTGACCTCAGGGTTAGGTCTGGTCAGGATAGGTTCGTTTACTGTGCTCTGAAAGTGTTGAACTAGACCTGACTTGGACCTAACCTGCAAGGATTCTCGCTGTGGTCTTATATGTGCTGTGACAAGAGGTATCAAGCAAGCTCTAGCCCCCGACGGTGTCGTGCCATCCGCCGGAGGGCTGTGTGAGTGGCAGAGGCGTTGTCCTCTGCTGCACGTGGAAGCAAGGGACATCAGGCCTCAGGGTTAAGTCTGGTCAGGAAAGGTTCGTTTATTGTGCTCTAAAAGGGTATTATTGCAGATTAACTACATCCAAAAAAAAGGGTGTTTTTTTTTAATTATATGTTTTTTGGGGTGTAGATTACGAATCTGAAATTCATTTTTGGCGGTCGGCATCGGAAAACCGATTTTTTTCGCGACTTACTAACATGGGGGTTACGTGTCAGTCTTGAAATCTTGGGCGATTTCACGGACGAGCCTCTGGAAAGGCAACTTGCGGATGAGCAGCTCAGTGCTCTTCTGGTAGCGCCTAATTTTACGCAGTAATAGTTCCTAGCCTATTTATAATAACAAAGCATCATGTTCATAAATTTACAAGCTCAGAAATTTTGAGCAGAGTCACAGTCCCGGGCCTGTATCTGTGGGGTTTCTTGACGCCTCCAGTGGCGGGGGCAGACTTGCGAGCAGCTTTGGTGGCAAGCCGCTTGCGTGGAGCCTTGCCTCCAGACTCCAGTCGATTTTCGAGCGGTCTGATTGGTACGAGCCATGGTGAATCGTTGACGAAATTTCACAGTAATAGTGACTGCGAGCACGAAAGGGTCTCCTTATAATGATGCGAGAGATAAAGATGCGAGAGAGACGAGTATCCTGCAGACGTGATTGAGAGTCAGAATGGTGGTGAAAACTGGTCGGCAAGTAACGTGTCTACGCAGCGGAAAGCAGTCACTTTTACCTGGGCTTTTGTCGAGTGGCTCTTATATAAGGAGGTGTGCTTTGCAGAAGTGGTAACATTGATACTGCTTAAGCTTAAAAGCTTAAAATAGCTTAAATTATATCTGATATAATATTATATTACCGATGGATTGACTGGGAAGTTTATTCAGGAATATCAATAAAAAGGTCTAGGTTGGGTCACGAGTTTGTAAATGGCCGTATTAAATTTAAGAGGGAAAATATCTACCCAGAAAGACTAGCAAAATGCAGTAAATTTGCTTGGAAATCTGAAATTGAAAAAAAAATATTGAGAAAAACTAGAAATGTGCGCTAAAGTTGAACTTCTAGGTTAATTTGCTCAGTTATAGATAACAGAGTTCTTAGGTACAATGACGGCTGTTTGTCAGAAACTGTCATAACCACACAGTAATCTAAAAAAAATACGTACAGAACATTTAAATTATTACTAAGCACTATAATTGCTTTTGAAACATTTCCAGAAAGCATTGATCAGATCCAGATGTACCAACAAGCTAGCTTGTGGCAGCTTGAACACGTGTGCTCATAGACCTGAAATTAAGCTGCAGGACAAGTGGGATTAACATCTGGAGAGTGACTTGTGAGATAACAGAGACTTGAAGGATCTGTGAGAGGTTTAATATAAGCTTGGAGAGTGTATTGTGAGTGAGATGAGAGAAGCCTGAAGGACTTGTGAGTAGTATAACAGAGGTGTGAAGAGTGACTTGTGAGTGAGATAACAGAGCCTTGAAGGACATGTGAGTAGTATGTATAACAGAGGCGTGGAGAGTAACTTGTGAGTGAGATAACAGAGTCTTGAAGGACATGTGAGTAGTATAACAGAGGCTTGGAGAGTGACTTGTGAGTGAGATAACAGAGCCTTGAAGGACATGTGAGTAGTATAACAGAGGCGTGGAGAGTGACTTGTGAGTGAGATAACAGATGACACGAACACGTGTACGGCAGACACGTACACGTGTACGTCAGACACGAACACGTGTACGTCAGACACGAACACGTGTACGTCAGACACGTACACATATACGTCAGACACGTACACGTGTACGTCAGACACGTACATATATACGTCAGACACGTACACGTGTACGTCAGACACGTACATGCCCCGTGGACGTGTGTCGCCCACGCGGGGGGGGGGGTGCCAGTTTCCAGGACGGTTTATGACTCAGCAACTAATTTTTTATTCTGCCCGTCTGTTTACGTTTCAATTAAGCATTAATTATTAATAATAATAAATTAATAAATAATAATAAATTATTAAGTAATAATAAATTATTAAGTAATAACAAAGTAATAGGTAATAATAAATTAATATATAATAATCAAGAGCTTAAATGTTAATTAAAAACATAAATTCAACCCTGCACTATAATGAAATTCAGACGTACAGTGATGGAGCTCTAATGAAGAGGTTATGTTGAGTTATTTGTTAAGTAATACATTGCCCTGATATATTACTTCTACATAATATATAGCAAAGTAATATATATATCATAGGCTATAGTTAGCCGATAAAATAGTAAAATATAGACGGTAATAAAGGTTAAGGTTAATATATATAGGTATA